GTAGAGATGGGATTTTGCCGTGTTAGCTAGGCTGTTCTCAAACTCCTGGCCTCAAGTGATCCACCCACCTCAACCTCCCGAAGTGTTGGGATTACAGGTGTGAGCTACCATGCCTGGCTAATAAAGAGCTCTTGTCCACCTTTAGATTTCATTTGCTGACTTGGGGAGAGTGGTTTAAATGGAGGGTTAAGAGAAAATGCTAGTTTTCAGCTGGTTGATGGCAAATGGAAAGGCTTAGATTAAAGTACATTTTAAAATGTAATTTTGTGTGTAATTCTGGAAAATTCCTTCCTAAAAATTACTGGTCTTGTCTTTGAAATTCACTGGTAACATTGCTTATCCATCTCCCTTAAAATGCTATTTCAGGCTGACTCTTGCTTGTGGTGGGGTAGCCCTGAATTCTTTGGACGACCTAAGTCCTGACTGCTTGGGACATGCAGGACTTGTGTATGAGTATACATTGGTAAGCGTATTTTCTTCTTCAAGGTAATAGAACCTTTTAGCTCATGAATTATTTTTGTTTGTGTGAAATGGGGTCTCACTCCGCCCGGGCTGGAGTGCAGTGATGTGGTAACAGTTCACTGCAGCCTCATCTTCCTGGGTTCAAGTGATCCTCCCTCCTCAGGCTCCTGAGCAAATGGACCACAGACATGTGTGCTACCATGCCTGGCTAAATTTTTTTTTTTTTTTTTTTTTTTTTGGTAATTTTTGTAGAAACAAGTTCATACTGTGTTGCCCAGGCTGGTCTTAAACTCCCGGGCTCAGGCTGTCCTTCACCCTCAGCCTCCCAAAGTGCTGAGATTACAGGCATGAGCCACTGTGTTCATGAAGTCTTGAGCAGAAAAATTAATTGAAATTCAGGATCAGATTTTTGTTTATATACATTTTGAAGGTTTATGTGTAGTAATGGGAAGCCATTGATGGGGAAAATCCCATTTCTTTTATATGTGATTTTTCAAAAGGAGATAATTTGCTTTAATGTGATCAAGTTTGTTCCTTATTAATATGCTGCTTGTCATTCTCTGTAAGTCCCTCTTCTGTCTTCACTGTCTGCACAAATCCTGTTTTTGAAAATCATATTTTTTCTACACATAGGGAGAAGAGAAGTTCACCTTTATTGAGAAATGTAACAACCCTCGTTCTGTCACATTATTGATCAAAGGACCAAATAAGCACACACTCACTCAGATCAAAGATGCAGTGAGGGATGGCTTGAGGGCTGTCAAAAATGCTATTGATGATGGTAAGATCCTCACCATATTTCAATTCTATTATATTGTTTTGCTGGTCTGAAAGGCATGGTCGAATACTGTGTTCTTTTATCAGTAGTTTACACAGCCAGACACCATGCAAAAGCAGTCTTCCCTTTAGAATGACCAATGGTATGCTAAGGTTTTTCATAGCATATCATTATTAAAGGTGAATACAGATAAATGAAATAATACTGATCTGTTGAAAGAGCTGCCAGCGGCTAGTGAAGCCATTCTGTTGAAACATTCTCCTATTTGATATGTTAGTCACTTGTATTTTGTCATAGTAAATTTGTAAGAAATTAATGGCTTTTATATGTGTATTTTAGTTGTTGTTCATAATTAGTTCTGCAGTTTTCTTAGCATTTTTCCTTTTTCCCTCATTCAACAGGCTGTGTGGTTCCAGGTGCTGGTGCTGTGGAAGTGGCAATGGCAGAAGCCCTGATTAAATATAAGCCCAGTGTAAAGGGCAGGGCACAGCTTGGAGTCCAAGCATTTGCTGATGCGTTGCTCATTATTCCCAAGGTGTGCACATTTTAACAGTCAATCTTCCAAAAGATTTAGCTGATCAAACCTTTTTGATAATGTAGGCTTTATTCATAATGTGGATTTTGGACAAGCAAGTTTGATCAGTTTTCTTCCTGACTCTAGAACAGGTATTCCTCATCATCCAAATGTATTTGGTTTCTCTGGGAGGCCTGAATAACCGACGTTTCAGATAACAAGAGATAACCTGTAGTTTAATATTTACAGTATTAGGGGTTATACTTGAGTACAAACTTGCTTTTTGCTTTTGTTTTAAACTGATACTATTTTCTGTTATATACTAATTTTGAGGTATAATTTATGACTGGTATATTGCTGCTGGGTTTGAGGTAGATGAGAGAATTGATCAGTAACTTGTGTCTGGTTATTCTCTGAAGGGAGCATAAATGTTCTTTCTTCATGCAATGAGATTTTTTTGTTTGCTTGTTTTTTTGAGATGGAGTTTTGCTTTTGTTGCCCAGGCTGGAGTGCAGTGGTGCGATCTCGGCTCACTGCAGCCTCAGCCTCTCAAGTAGCTGGGATTACAGGCACTTGCCACCACACCCAGCTAGGTTTTTGTGGGGTTTTTTTTTTTTTTTTTTTGTATTTTTAGTAGAGATGGGGTTCCACCATGTTGGCCAGGCTGGTCTCGAACTCCCGACTTCAGGTGATCCACCTGCCATGGCCTCCCAAAGTGCTGGGATTATAGGCATGAGCTACTGCACCAAGCCGAGATTTTCTTTTTCTTTTTTTCTTATCTTTTTTTTTTTTTTTTTTTTTTTAGCTATCAGTTATTCCTGTTTTCTCAAGAATTAAATTTGTTTACTTTAGGTTCTTGCTCAGAACTCTGGTTTTGACCTTCAGGAAACATTAGTTAAAATTCAAGCAGAACATTCAGAATCAGGTCAGCTTGTGGGTGTGGACCTGAACACAGGTAAGAGAATGCAACTGTTGTAGAGGGAAAACTAGATGTAATACATGTGAGTTGAAGCCAGGAAAGATTGAAAATGGGAACCAAAAAAATGTTTTGCTTTGCAATTTGACACCAGTACTATTAGGGAACTCTGGGTTCTAAAATACGATAAAATAGGATATTAATAAAAAATGGAATGACTAGGTATAATTAAGGGACTAGAGTAGACATGAGTAATTTGGGGATACAATTTTGGAGATGTTGAGTGGTGGTAGATGGTTTAGATTAATGTTGAAGGATTTTCATATTGCATTTGCCTTACTTAGTTTTTAATCAGGTACTATGATAAAATAGATTTGGTGATTATATTCCTGGATGAAAACCAGCTAAAGATAGCAATTAATGCCAGAAAAGGGGATCTCGAAATGTAGTGAAATGGTGACAGCCCTAATCTTAGGTTCCTGTAAACAAAACAACACAAAATTAAGTACAAAGTAGGAGATAACAGGTACATCCATGCAGTATGTGCAAGACCTCTTGTTGTCAACATTATTATTTAATAGAAAAGGTTTCTGGAATGAGGGAAATGATCAGTCCATTTTAGCCAGATTATAGTTGAAGTGCTATACTTCAGTATGAGTAAACAGAAATCTATCCAGAAGAAGAGAGGGGGTGTTCAGGACTTCTCAGTAGAAGTCAGACACTCATCAAATATTGTGTTTAGAGTAGAAAATTGGGCTAACAGAGAAGCTTTGAACTCTCATAGTTAATACTGGAGGAAATGAGTCATCAGTGATAAGCAAAGCCACACACAATATTGTTGGTTCTTATTGACTGAACTTACTTTAAGAAGATTTGGTTGCCTTTTAGGTGAGCCAATGGTAGCAGCAGAAGTAGGTGTATGGGATAACTATTGTGTAAAGAAACAGCTTCTTCACTCCTGGTAAGTTTGGGAAAATGAAAACTAAACTGTTAGAGAATCATACTCTTCATTTGGTGTGTTCTGTTTAGTTGCTCCTTTTCCCCCCATGAATAATGTAATCAGCTGGAAGTATGGAAACTGAACTAGCCCTCTCTGATGTTTAGAGGGGAAGGGGGAAATTTAATTGGATGTAATGTGTGCAGCTTGGTTGGAAGTGGGAAATTGAGTCGAATTAGGACTGCTAATCATCTGAGCCATCTTATTTTTGTCCCCCTTTCAGCACTGTGATTGCCACCAACATTCTCTTGGTTGATGAGATCATGCGAGCTGGAATGTCTTCTCTGAAAGGTTGAATTGAAGCTTCCTCTGTATCTGAGTCTTGAAGACTCTGCAAAGTGATCCTGAGAGACTACAGCTGTGGAATTTTTGTCCAAGCTTCAAATGATTTCCAAAGGAATTTTCCCATATGAAAAAAGGAGAGAACGCTGGCATCTGTTGAAATTTGGAAGTTCTGAAATTACAGTATTTTTAAAAATTGCACTGAAGCGTATACACATAAAGCAGCTCTTTTACCCAGTAAACAGGATGTTTTGCTTTAGCAGCAGTGACATAAAATTCCATGTTAGATAAGCATATGTTACTTGTTATTAAATATTCCTTGAAAAGCAAATTTTAATGGCTTAATTTTATGTAGACGTATGTTAAATTATCCAACAGTACCCTATTGTTAAGCATTTGGTTTTAAAATTTTTATGCTAATATAAACAAGTAATTTAAAATTTTGAAAGCATCCTTGTTAGTATAAATTTCTGAGTAAATGCATTGGGTCAGTTGGACTTTGAATGCTTTTAAAATGGCTTTGCTAAAATGCTCCCCCCCTCCACAAAGTTAAGTTGTAGGAAATGGGAAGAGGAGTAAGCTAGAGGCGAGGGAGTTAGTTGAGAGAGCTGCAAGTGTCAAGAGGCAAAAACAGGCAGAGGTAAAAAGATGATGCAAGGCGTGGTGACTAAGGGCTACGGTTATTGGGTGAAATTTGAGATTTGTAGGCCGACTGTGTTTTCAAGCTTCTGAACTTCCCTTATGCAAAATATCCCAAAGCCTCTAGTGTCATATTTTTCTCACCCAAATTACTGCGTTCCACGAGATTATATAGTTGGTCTATCTCAGCAGCCCTTGAAGGTGAAGTGTGTTACTAGGCTGTGTTTTGGGGGGTCAACAGTGGCCTGAAGTGAGTTGTGCAATAAATGTTAAGTTGAAACCTCCTTTCTGGTCTTGCAATGGTATGACGCACAAAAGCAATCTTAAGGGGAATGTAAACTGCCCAAAAGTTCAAAAAAGTAGTGAGGGGGTCTCTGGAACGGAAGGGACCCTTAAACGTGGTTTTCCTTAATTCGCTGGGCGGCCCTGAAGGTGGTGTGGCGAGTCCTCCGCCTCGCTCTGTAAGTTTCCCCCTGCTGAACTGTAGGGTGAGGGTTGGGTGGTGGAGCAACCTGCGCATGTGCATAGGGCTCGACTGCCGCAACCGCTGCAGTGAAGGAGGGCGCATGCGCAGTGGAGCCGTGCGTGTGCGTGTGCGCGTGCGCGGCGCAGCGCACTAGTTCTGATTTCGGCCTGGGTTGGTTGGTACCTCTGCTGTCCCTGCTGTTGCTCCTGGTCGGCGCATGGCTCAAGCTAGGTCAGTGAACCGGCCATCCATCCCGGGGGCGCTGGGAAGGAGATGGGGCGCTCCGCCCTGGCGGGAGAGAGCCCGAGGCCCCTCTGCCCGCCTTCGGGATACGGCTGCAGCGGTCGGCTGGGGAGGTAGCTCTTGGCGCCCGTGGCGTCTCACTGCCTTGTACTTTCAACTTCGTGCGCTGGAATCTTTCAAACCTAAAAAAGGGAAAGAGGCCAGGCGCGGTGGCTCAAGCCTGTAATCCCAGCACTGTGGAAGGCCCGAGGCGGGCAGATCACGAGGTCAGGCAGTTCAAGAGAAGCCTGGGCAATATGATGAAACCCCTGTCTCTACTAAAAATACAAAAAATTAGCCGGGCGTGGTGGCGGGGGCCTGTAGTCCCAGCTACTCAGGAGGCTGAAGCAGGAGAATCGCTTGAACCCGAGAGGCGGAGGTTGCAGTGATCCGAGATCGGGCCACTGCGCTCCGACCGGGGCGACAGAGCAAGGCTCCGCCTCCAAAAAAAAAAAAAAAAAAAAAAAAAAGAAGGAAAAACTGAAAATGGATGAAATCAGTGTGAATGTGTCAGAATAAGAGAGCCAAAGATAGGATCTTGAGGAACATCAAAAGACGAGGACTCTGCCTTGAAAGAAGTTGTGCTTAGACACTTTCTTGGAAAGACACTGTGAAGTGGTGCATCAAGCTGAAGAAATGTGGCCTATTGGAAACAGCACCGTAGAGAGACCTGAATCTAGTCCTGTCTCCTGCTAACTAGCTCTTTAAGTCATATTTCTTTTTCGGGCCTTGGTTTGCTCCTGTGGAATAAGGAGGTTGAAGCAAAGACCCTTTTTTGTTTATTATTTATTTATTTTGAGACAGAGTCTTGCTGTTACCCCCAGGCCTGAGTGCAGTGGTGCGATGTTGGCTCACTGCAACCTCTGCCCCCAGGTTCTAGTTATTCTCCTGCCTCAGCCTCCGGAGTAGTTGGGATTACAGGTGGACACCATCACACCTAGCTAATTTTTGGTTTTGTTTGTTTGAGACGGAATCTCACTGTTGTCGCCCAGGCTGGAGTGCAGTGGTGTGATCTCAGCTCACTGCAACCTCCACCTCCCAGGTTCAAGCGATTCTCCTGCTTCAGCCTCCTGAGAGCTGGGATTACAGGCACCTGACACCACGCCCGGCTAATTTTTGTATTTTTGATAGAGACGGGTTTTTGCCATGTTGGCCAGGCTGGTCTCGAACTCCTGACCTCAGGTAGTCTGCCCACCTTGGCCTCCTAGTATGGGATTCCAGGCGTGAGCCACTGCACCTGGCCCGTCCTTTTTAATTCCATGTTTTTCTGAGGCATTCATACAAGTCTAAAGGTGCTCATTCAACTATTTGGCAATAATTGTGCACTTACAGCAGGAGCCAGGGATATACTGTCAAACATGTATATATTATATGCTTCTCTTCTGGCGCATATAATGATTAGAATCACTAATAACTGATAAGAGTTCAGTAAGTGGAGAGGAAGAGGCAGAGAAACAGCATGAGCAGAAGGATGGAAAGAAAGTGCTAGGTGTATTTTAGGGTAGAGTGTCTAAATTCGCCTAGCTGGGACAAGGCCTTGTGTAGAGGAAGAAAGAGGTACGTGCAAATCTACCATGTGGTCAACATTTCACACATGCTATTTTATTGTTGTTATTATCTTTTTATTTTTTATTTTTTGAGACAGGGTCTCACTGTGTCACCCAGGCTGGAGTGCAGTGACACAATGATAGCTCACTATGACCTTGAATGTCTGGGCTCAAGCAATTCTCCTGCGTTAGCCTCTGCACCCTGTCTCTGAGCCATTGTTCCTGGTTGCATGTTATTTTAATTGACACAGCTACTACCTAAGAGATAGTGAGATATTATCCCTATTTTTCATACTTATTATTTTTTCTTTTATTAACAAGCTATGGTCGTTCATAGATATTCCCATTTTTCAGATGAAGAAATTGAATCTCAGCTGGGTGTGTTGGCTCACACCTATAATCCCAGCACTTCGGGAGGCTGAGGTAGAAGGATCATTTGAGCTCAGGAGTTTGAGACCAGCCTGGGCGACACAACAAAACCCGATCTCCACAAAAAATACAAAAATTAGCCAGGTGTGGTAGTGCACACTTATGGTCCCAGCTACTCAGGAGGCTGAGGTGGGAGGATTGCTTGAGCCGGCGGGGGCAGAGGTTGCAGTGAACCCAGATTGCACCACTGCACTCCAGTCTGGGTGACAGAGTGAGATCCTGTCACAAAAAGAAAAAAAAGAAACAAATTGAATCTCAGATTAAGTAATTTGCCTAAGGTTTCCCAGCAAATCAAGTGGCAGAACAAGAATGTGAAGCCAAACAAAACGCAAAAGGAATTTTTTTTTTTTTTTTTTGAGACGGAGTCTCGCTCTGTCACCCAGGCTAGAGTGCAGTGGTGTGATCTTGGCTCACTGCAAGCTCCGCCTCCCGGGTTCACGCCATTTTCCTGCCTCAGCCTCCCGAGTAGCTGGGACTACCGGCGCTTGCCACCACATCCGGCTAATTTTTTTTTTTTTTTTAATTTTTAGTAGAGAAGGGGTTTCACCGTGTTAGCGAGGATGGTCTTGATCTCCTGACCTCGTGATCTGCCCGCCTCGGCCTCCAGAAGTGCTGGGATTACAGGGCGTAAGCCACCGCACCCGGCCCAAAAGGAATTTAAAGCCATATTTTTAAGCCTCCAAATTTTTTGTTGTGTTTTATTATACCATCATGAGTATTGCATACGATCCAAATATTACCACTTGTTTTATATATATGCATGTATTACTGATAACTCTCTTTTTTCTTTGCAGGAAATGGACAGGCTACTAGCATGGTCCAACTGCCAGGTGGGAGATTCCTGATGGGAACAAATTCTCCAGACAGCAGAGATGGTGAAGGCCCTGTGCGGGAGGCAACAGTGAAACCCTTTGCCATTGACATATTTCCTGTCACCAACAAAGATTTCAGGTACATCAGGTGTTCTTCCAGGAGGAATGAAGGCCCTCTCTAATCTCATTATTTTTTCTTTCTTTTTTTTTGAGACTTACTCACTCTGTCACTCAGGTGCTGGAGTGCAATGGCGTGATCTCGCTCACTGCAACCTCTGCCTCCTGGGTTCAAGCAATTCTCCTGCCTCCTCTCCAGACAGCAGAGATGGTGAAGGCCCTGTGCAGGAGGCGACAGTGAAACCCTTTGCCATTGACATATTTCCTGTCACCAACAAAGATTTCAGGCACATCAGATGTTCTTCCAGGAGGAATGAAGGCCCTCTCTAATCTCATTATTTTTTCTTTCTTTCTTTTTTTTTTTTTTTTTGGAGACTTACTCACTCTGTCTCCCAGGCGCTGGAGTGCAATGGCGTGATCTCACTCACTGCAACCTCCACCTCCTGAGTTCAAGCAATTCTGCCTCCTGCCTCTGCCTCCGCAATTCCCAAGTAGCTAGAATTACAGGTGTTCACCACCACGCCCAGCTAATTTTTTTTTTTGTATTTTTTTTAGTAGAGACGGGGTTTCACTATGTTGGCCAGGCTGGTCTCAAGCTCCTGACCTCAACTAATCGCCCCACCTCAGCCTCCCAGAGTGCTGGGATTACAGGTATGAGCCACTGCACCTGGCCTCATTCTTAATATCTAAAGGAATACTAACTTGTTCACTGTCACATGTCATCTTTGCAGTGTACTATGGGATAAGTGTTGTATACATTATTCAGATGAAGAACCTGAAATCCAAAGAGGTTTGACTGACTCAGTTAGTAGATGAGCTTGGCCTGGAACTCAAATCCCTGGGCTCTTGAGCCAGTGCATTTTCCATTACACTGGACATAGCACTGAGAAATATCAGCAAATGCCAGTCACTCAACAGAACCCTCTTCTACATGGGGAAAGGGATTGGGAGAAGGGACATCATACTAGAGAGTCCTTTAAGTTCCCCTTATAGGCCAGGTGTGGTGGCTCACACCTGCAATGTGAGCACTTTGGGAGGCCAAGGTGGGAGGATTGCTTGAGCTCCGGAGTCTGAGACCAGCCTGGCAACATAGGGAGACCTGTATCTCTGCTAAAATAAATGAATAAGTAAAAATAAGTAAATAAGTATATAAATTTGTACATATTGTTATATATATAAATGTATATATATATAAAAAACAATCCATCTTACCCTGACAATCTGCTTGCTGAAACTTACTAAACCATACCAAAGTATATGAAAATCCATTTTATTATTATTGTTATCATTATTATTTTTTGAGACAGGGTCTGGCTCTGTCACCCAGGCTGAAGTTCAGTGGTATGATCTCAGCTCACTGCAGCCTCTGCATCCCGGGCTCAAACCATCCTCCCATCTCAGCCTCCTGAGTAGCTGGGACTACAGGTGCGCCCCACCACACCCAGCTTATTTTGTTTTGTGTTTTTGGTAGAGACAGGGTTTTGCCCTGTTGCCCAGGCGGGTCTCGAACTCCTGGGCTCAAGTGATCCTTCTGCCTTGGCCTCCCAAAGTGCTGGGATTATAGGTGTGACCCACCATGCGTGGCCTTGAAAATCCATTTTATTTTATTTTATTTATTTATTTAGAGACGAGTTTTGCTCTTGTTGCCCTGGCTGGAGTGCAATGGTGCGATCTCAGCTCACCGCAACCTCCGCCTCCTGGTTTCAAGTGATTCTCCTGCCTCAGCCTCCTAAGTAGCTGGGATTACAGGCATGCACCACTACACCCAACTAATTTTTGTATTTTCAGTAGAGACAGGGTTTCTCCATGTTGGTCAGGCTGGTCTCAAACTCCTGACCTCAGGGGATCCATCTGCCTTGGCCTCGTGAAGTGTTGGGATTACAGCTGTGAGCCACCATGTCCAGTCGAAAATCCATTTTAAAAGCCCAGTTTTTCACTTCTATTTGGTTCAGTGTTTTTCATCTGTTAAATGGAGATAATAACAGTAAAACCTATTACCTACCTCTGGTGACTGTTGTGAGATTAGATATGTGATGAAGGGCTGGATGCAGTGGCTCACGCCTGTAATCCCAACAATTTGGGAGGCCGGCGTGGGAGGATCACTTGAGCCCAGGAGTTCGAGACCATCCTGGGCAATGCAGTCCCCATATCTACTAAAAATTTTAAAAAGGCTGGGCGCGGTGGCTCAAGCCTATAATCCCAGCACTTTGGGAGGCCGAGACGGGCGGATCACAAGGTCAGGAGATCGAGACCATCCTGGCTAACACGGTGAAACCCTGTCTCTACTACAAAATACACAAAACTAGCTGGGCAAGGTGGCAGACGCCTGTAGTCCCAGCTACTCGGGAGGCTGAGGCAGAATGGTGTAAACCCGGGAGGCGGAGCTTGCAGTGAGCTGAGATCCGGCCACTGCACTCCAGCCTGGGGGACAGAGCGAGACTCCGTCTTAAAAAAAAAAAATTTAGCCCCTTATGGTAGCATGGACTTGTAGTCCCAGCTAGTAGGGAGGTTGAGGCAGGAGGATCACTTGAGTGTGGAAGGTTGAGGCTGTAGTGAGCCATGATTGCACCACTGCACTCCAACCTGGGTAACATCCTTTCTCAAAAAGGGGAAAAAAAAAAGATAGGTGCTGGAGACCTTTCAGAAAAGAGATGAATTCCCCACCCTTAAATCTCCTGCTGAGTGGCTTTATTCATGATCTCTAAAAACAGGAGATAACTCACATGATCTTCAGCTGGTAAGTGTATAAACAATATATGGTATGTCCATACAGTAAGATACTACTCATTGATAAAAAGGGACAGACTACTAATGGCAACAACATGGATGAATCTCAGAAGCATTTGCTAAGTGAAGGAAACCACAGCCAGACCCAGAAGACTACATACTATATGATTCAAGTTATATGGTATTCTGGGAAAGGCAAAACTATAGGGACAAAAAAACCCGGTCCGTGGTTGGTGAGTTTCAGAGAAATTTTTTTAGAGGTGACCAATGGAACTATTCTGTATCTTGATTATTGTAGTGACTATATGCTTTGTCAAACTCACAGAACTGCTGGGCGCAGTGGCTCATGCCTATAATCCCAACACTTTGGGAGCCCGAGGTGGGTAGATCACTTGAGCTCAGAATTTTTAGACCAGCCTGGGCAACATAGTGAGACCCCATCTCTATAAAATTAGCCAGGCATGGTGGCATACACCTGTAGTCACAGCTACTTGAGAGGCTGAGGAGGGAAAATTGCTTGAGCCCAGGAGGTCAAGGCTGCAGTGAGCTGTGATTGTGCCACTGCACTCCAGTCTGGGTGACAGAGTGAGACCCAGTCCAAAATATAAATAATTAAAATAAATCGGGAGGCTGAGGCACAAGAATTGCTTGAACTCAGGAGGTTGATGCTGCTATAGTGAGCCATGGTTGCACCACTGCACTCCAGCCTGGGGGACAGAGTGAGACCTGGTCTCAAAAAAAAAAAATGATCGGCCGGGCATGGTGGCTCATCCCTGTAATCCCAGCACTTTGGGAGGCTGAGGCGGGCGGATCACAATGTCAGGAGTTCAAGACCAACCTGACCAACATGGTGAAACCCTGTCACTACTAAAAATACAAAAATTAGCAGGGTGTAGTGGCACGCACCTGTAATCTCAGCTACTCAGGAGGCTGAGGCAGGAGTATCGCTTGAACCCAGGAGGCAGAGGTTGCAGTGAGCTGAGATCACCCCACTGCACTCAAGCCTGGGCCATAGAGTGAGACTCTGTCTAAACAAAAAAATAAATAAATAAATAAATAAATAAATAAATAAATGATTAAAATAAATAAAAGTTAATTTGGGCATGGTGGCTTACATCTCTAATCCCAGCACTTTGGGAGAACGAGGCGGGCAGATCACGAGGTCAGGAGTTCGAGACCAGCCTGGCTAACATGGTGAAACCCCGCCTCTACTAAAAATACAAAAATTAGCTGGGCATGGTGGTGTGCACCTGTAATCCCAGCTACTGGGGAAGCTGAGGCAAGAAAATCACTTAAACCCAGGAGGTGGAGGTTGCAGTGAGCCGAGATTGCGCTACTGCACTCCAGCCTGGGCAACGGAGCAAGAGTCTGTCTCAAAAAAAAAAAAAAAAAAATTGGCCAGGTGTTGTGCCTCACGCCTGTAACCCCAACACTTTGGGAGGCCGAGGTGGCAGGATCACCTGAGGTTAGGAGTTCGAGACCAGCCTGGCTAACATTGCAAAACCCTATCTTTACAAAAAATACAAAAATTAGGTGGGCGTGGTGGTATGCATCTGTAATCCCAGCTACTTGAGAGACTGAGGCTGGAGAATCACTTGAACCCGGGAGATGGAGGTTGCAGTGAGCTGAGATTGTGCCACTGCACTCCAGCCTGGGCAACAGAGTGAGACTTTGTCTCAAAAAAAATAAATAGGCTGGGTGTGGTGGCTCACGCCTGTAATCCCAGCCCTTTGGGAGGCCGAGGCAGGTAGATCACTAGGTCAGGAGTTCAAGACCAGCCTGGCCAACATGGTGAAACCCTGTCACGACTAAAAATACAAAAATTGCCAGGGCATGGTGGCAGGCACCTATAATCCCAGCTACTAGGGAGGCTGAGGCAGGAGGATCGTTTGAACCCAAGAGGTAGAGGTTGCAGTGAGCCGAGATCATGCCATTGCACTCCAGCCTGGGTGACAGAGCGAGACTCCATCTCTAAATAAATAAACAAACAACTAAACAAACAAATAAATAAATAATAAATTAACCTCGCAGAACTAAACACTGAAGAGAGTGAATTTTACTGTATGTAAATTTGTTGCATTCTAATTTAAAAGAAAATCGCCCAGGCTTCAGGTTAATTCTTTGGCGATCATGAACACTCTGTGGTGTGTAACTTACAGGACAGGGATATCTGAGGTTTCCTGGATCAGGAGAAGATGGGGCGGGCACAGAACCTCACCAGCTGAACCAGCTGAACTATGTCTTTGCAGGGATTTTGTCAGGGAGAAAAAGTATCGGACAGAGGCTGAGATGTTTGGATGGAGCTTTGTCTTTGAGGACTTTGTCTCCGATGAGCTGAGAAACAAAGCCACCCAGCCAATGAAGGTGAGAGAACCTGGTCTTGCGGCTGAGGGGATAGGAGTGGGACCTAGACAGGGAATCCTGTGGGACATGGGTTACCTGGGACACAGTGGAGAATCAGACCTGAGAGCTGGAGGCAGAAGGGAAGCAAGAGAAACCCACCATGGAGCGTGAAATCAGTATACACTCCCAGGAAGTTAACCCTGAACCGAAGTTAGCCCTTGCCTAAAGGTCCAAGTCAGGATAGGGTTCAAGGAACTTGAATCAAGAGATCACCTTGGTGGGCTGGGTGTGGTGGCTCATGCCTATAATCCCAGCACTTTGGGAGGCTGAGGTGGGTGGATCACCTGAGGTCAGGAGTTCAAGACCAGCCTGGCCAACACAGCAAAACCCGTCTCTACTAAAAATACAAAAATTAGACAGGCGTGGTGGCACGCTCCTGTAATCCCAGCTACTCAGGAGGCTGAGGCATGAGAATCGCTTGCACCCGGGAGGCAGAGGTTGCAGTGAGCCGAGATGGCGCCACTGCACTCCAGCCTGGGTGACAGAGTGAGACTCTGTTTCAAAAAAAAAAAAAAAAAAAAGATCACCTTGGCAAGCCAACCTCTAATAAGGGTGCTAAAATTGGACTCTATAAAGATTCCAGTCTCAGCTGGGCACAGCAGCTCACGCCTGTAACCCCAGCACTTTGGGAGGCTGAGGTGGGACAATTGCTTGAGCCCAAGAATTCAAGACCAGCCTGGGCAACATAGATCCCATATCTACAGGAAAAAAAAAAAAAGAAAAGAAAAGAAAGAAAGAAAATTAGCTGGGCATGGTGATGTACACCTGTAGTCCCAGCTACTCAGGAGGTTGAGGTGGGAGGATCACCTGAGCCTAGGAGGTTGAGACTGCAGTGAGCGGTGATAGTGCCACTGCACTCTAGCCTGAGTGACAGAGCAATATCTTGTCTCAAAAAAAATAAATAAATAAAATTTCAGCCACAACCTCACTTAGACTACCTGAGTCTCAGCCTGACGTCTCTGTTCTGCGTCCTGTGGCTCAGTCGGGGAGGTGCCTTTGCTGGGCCAGAGCATCTTGCAGTCAGTCTCCTTTTTTGCAGCCTGTACTCTGGTGGCTTCCAGTGGAAAAGGCATTTTGGAGGCAGGTAAGGGCTGATTCCACTACCTCATTTTCTACCCCTGCTTGACTCTTTTATTCTCCAGGCCCAGCCTCCTCTCTACCCCTCGTACATCCAGAACACTGAGTTTCAAAGGAGGACAGGGGAATTTCAGGGAAATCGCTCAGCAGGCCTCCTTTTCCCGTTACCCATCCATTTCTCCCTTTTCAGCCTCCTGTAATCTTTTTTCTGACTCCGACACTCCTCACTCACCTGGCTCTCTTCCAGCTCTCTTCCTCCATCTAGTGGTAAAAGCTAAACGCGGGTACCCTAAACCTAGCCTGCCTCCGACTTAATGCGCTCCCGGAAGCCTGTCTCACTTCATCCTGGCTGTCAGCCTGCAGGTCCTGGCTCTGGCATCCGAGAGAGACTGGAGCACCCAGTGTTACACGTGAGCTGGAATGACGCCCGTGCCTACTGTGCTTGGCGGGGAAAACGGCTGCCCACGGAGGAAGAGTGGGAGTTTGCCGCCCGAGGGGGCTTGAAGGGTATCCAGATGATGAGGCGATTTTCTTTCATTCTTCTCCCCATCCTGCCCTGCATGAGGGGCTTTAAAGAGTGGGAAGGGGCCGGGCGCAGTGGCTCATGCCTGTAATCCCAGCACTTTGGGAGGCTGGGGCAGGAGGATAGCTTGAGGCCAGCAGTGAAAGACCAGCCAGGGCAACATAAGGAGACTTTGTCTCTCCAAAAAATACAAAAATGAACTGGGCCTAGTGGCATGTGCCTCTAGTCCCAGCTACTCGGGAGGCTGAGGTGGGAGGATCCTTTGAGCCTAGGAGTTCAAAGCTGCAGCGAGCTATGATCACACCACCGCTCTCTGGCCTGAGTGGCATAACAAGACCCTGTCTCAAGAAAAAAAGCGGGGGTTGGGGCAGGAAGGGTCTGTGTTCCCTAGAGCAGTGCTTTTTAAGCTATCTGTGGTAGAGGACCAGGGTTTTTTTTATTATTTTTTCTAGTCCATTTCAGACTGATATATTTATGAAATACCATGAAAATTAGTAACTGGAGAAATTGAAAGAACAGACATAAAATATTTTGTTGGAAATTCCGCAGACATTACATTTCAATAAATATAACCAGAGCAACATGGCATAAGGAAAAAGAAGAATTACCAAGACTACACACTTCTGTCTCTGGGGTACAGGGGTTAATGTTAGACTACACACCTCTGCCCTTGGGGTACAGGGGTTAATGTTAAGAATCACTGTTTGCTCCTAACTCGGTCATTTGTCATTCTGCAATCCTAATTACACAGAAAGTTAGGACAGCAAAAAGCAACTCCCCACATTAAACCTCTCTACACAGTCTTTCAGTGAACACCAGGTACATCAACGATCGAAGTTTTTGTTTGTTTGTTTGTTTGTTTGTTTTGAGACGGAGTCTGTCGCTCAAGGCTGGAGTACAGTGGCACGATCTCGGCTTACTGCAACCTCTGCCTCCCAGGTTCAAGCGATTCTCCTGCCTCAGCCTCCTGAGTAGCTGGGATTACAGGCACCTGCCACCATGCCTGGCTAATTTTTGTATTTTTAGTAGAGATGGGGTTTCACTGTGTTGGCCAGACTGGTCTTGAACTCCTGACCTCGTGATCCACCTGCCTCGGTCTCCCAAAGTGCTGGGATTACAAGTGTGAGCCACCACATGTGGCCAATGATCAAAGTTTTTAATATGACTTGTGAGGTTGCCTCTGACTCGTTCGTTTATGCAATCTAAGTCCAATTTTCAAGTTTCTCAATTTCTGTACTTTTCTCAACATGAACTGATAAGAGATGCTTTATAAACTGGCTCAGATCCCAGAGCCCTGGAGCACATGAGGAGGCCAGGGCCTCTAATGCAGTTCAGAGAGTGGCAAGGACAGGCATGGGAAATAAAAGCAGGTCATCTCACTCTCTTTCTTTCTCATCTCCCTCTAACTTCCTTTTGGTTCCCTCACTCTTTCTGTGTTTTTGTTTTCCTTCCCTAATTCTTCACCTCCCCCTCCTCTGCTGCCTCCTTGCTCTCCTGGCAGGTCAAGTTTACCCATGGGGAAACCGGTTCCAGCCAAACCGCACCAACCTGTGGCAGGTAAGACCTACATTCCTCCTTTCACCAAGCATCCACAGAGACCTGCTAGAGGCTCGGTACTGTGTTGTTAGGCCGCAGCATCCAGAGGGCTTGGGTTCTAATGCAACTGATGACTCATAAGCTGGTAAAGCAAAAGACAATGGGTCATAAGTACTTTTTTTTTTTTTTTTTTTTTTTTGAGACAGAGTCTCTCTCTGTCACCCACGCTGGAGTGCAGTGGTGCAAACTCGGCTCACTGCAACCTCCACCTCCCAGTTTCAAGCGATTCTCCTGCCCCAGTCTCCCAAGTAGTTGGGATTACAGGTCCCTGCCACCATGCCCAGCTAATTTTTTTGTATTTTTAGTAGAGATCAGGTTTTGCCATGTTGGCCAGGCTGGTCTCAAACTCCTGACCTCAGGTGATCCACCCGCCTCAGCCTCCTAAAGTGCTGGGATTACAGGCATAAGCCACCGTGCCCAGCCAGCATAAGTACTTTCTATTAAAGATTTGTAGGGCTGGGTACAGTGGCTCATGCCTGTAATCCCAGCACTTTGGGAGGCCGAGGGGGTTGGATCACCTGAGGTCAGGAGTTCAAGACCAGCCTGGCCAATATGGTGAAACCCTGTCTCTACTAAAAATACAAAATTAACTGGGCGTGGTGGCGGGCACCTGTAATCCCGCCTGCTTGGGACTTCGGCAGGAGAATCACTCGAACCCAGGAGGTAGAGGTTGGTGAGCTAAGGTCATGCTGCCACTGCACTCCAGCCTGGGCGACAGAATGAGACCCTGCCTCAAAAAAAAAAAAAGTGACTAAATAATAAATAAAACTAAAATAAGCAAATAAAAAAGCACTGTCCTGAGAAGGCCTGCAGGAGCAGGCTGCAGTGCTCTGGCACGGGGCGTGGGGACAGGCTGCAGAGGAGCGTGGGAGAAGCTGTCTTCTCGAGGCTCCATGGCATGTGGGGTTCCAGGCAGAGGGCAGGATGTTGCTGAGAGTGGAGAAGTCAGGTGTGGGCTGGGATTGACCTAGAGCCCTTTGGGTACAGGGGAAACACTCTTCCTAATCCAGCAGGGGTGTCACCCTGGGGATGTGAGGTGATGGGTTTGGGAGCTCTGGATAGGAATCTTAGGTCACCGCCCCGTGCCCTTCCCCTTCCCCAGATGCGACAGCAAGACGACTTTGGTTTTCCTCTGGATAGGCATGAGGACCTGCCTTGGGACAGGTGGTAAATCTTTTACCCTCCCTTTCTCCCATCAGGGAAGGTTCCCCAAGGGGGACAAAGCTGAGGATGGCTTCCATGGAGTCTCCCCAGTGAATGCTTTCCCCGCCCAGAACAACTATGGTAAGAGCTCTCTTGGGCTTATGGCCATGCCCACGAACTGGCTGCTGGGACCATCGTGTCTAGAGAGGAGGCAGAGGGAAGCACCTCCCTTCCCCGAGTTGGCCCCAGGACCTCAGAGGGTCGGCGGGGTGGTCCGCGGGTCCCAGCCTGGCCTGACCCGCCGGTGGGGCTGCAGGGCTCTATGACCTCCTGGGCAACGTGTGGGAGTGGACAGCATCACCATACCAGGCCGCTGAGCAGGACACACGTGTCCTCCGGGGGGCATCGTGGATCGACACAGCTGACGGCTCTGCCAATCACCGGGCCCGGGTCACCACCAGGTGAGGGGCTTTGTCCCAGGCAACGTGCGGCTTAGTAGCTGGGGCTGAGGTCTGAATCCTGGTCCCGGAGTGCCCCAACCTTCATACCACCAACCGTCTGTGTGCAGTGAGCTGGTCCCAGCACCTCCCTGAGCCTGTGCCCAGTTGTGGGTACAGAAAAGAAAGCCAGCAGCACTTGCTATGAAAAGCAAAGGGCCCCAGGACACCTTGTGACTCTCCTGCCAGCGCTTGGTACCCAGGGAGACTGTGTGTGGCATCTTAATTATGGGGTTTCTCCTCTTGTCCTGTGGTACCACTAGGTAGGCAAAGGGAGGGAAGTAGAATGACCACACCAGTAGGTCATTAGTGGTGGTCATAGACTTACTGACTCTTCAAACTGGTGGGCACACGAAAAATCTTTTTTTTTTTTTTTTTTGAGATGGAGTCTTGCTCTGTTGTCCAGGCTGGAGTGCAGTGGCACAGTCTCAACTCACTGCAGCCTCAAACTGCCAGGCTCTAGCGATTCTCCCACCTGAGCTCCTCAAGTATCTGGGACTACAGGCATGCACCACTATGCCCAGCTAATTTTTGTAGAGATGGGTTTTTGCCATGTTGCCTAGGTTTGTCTCATTTTCCTGGACTAAGCAATCAGCCCGCCTTGGCCTCCCAGAATGCTAGGATTACAGGCGTGAGCCACCGCACCTGGCCGTGATATTCTCATAGCTTGCGGACAGGTTTTCTCTACTGAGCTGTTCTCAACTGCTAACACAGAAGTTAGTCACTGTCTTTTCTGCCCTCCAGTGCTGTCTCTCGGGGCCACTGTCCCTCCCCCCACTCTTGCAAGGCTCCTTTTGTCCCAGAGCCCCTTCTTGTTCCCCTTCTCCCAGGACTGGCACAGGCTTCCTTCCAGACTATGCCCTCCCCAGCCCTCAAGCTCCCTGATCATGGCGAGCCCTGCGGGTGAGGCAGGGAAGATGGGTCAGCCCCCAGGCCTCTTTCTCAGGATGTGTCCTTCCTCTCTCCCCTCCTCTACTGGCAGGATGGGCAACACTCCAGATTCAGCCTCAGACAACCTCGGTTTCCGCTGTGCTGCAGACGCAGGCCGGCTGCCAGGGGAGCTGTAAGCAGCCGGGTGGTGACAAGGAGAAAAGCCCTCCAGGGTCACTGTCATTCCCTGGCCATGTTGCAAACAGCCCAATTCCAAGCTCGGGAGCTTCAGCCTCAGGAAAGAACTTCCCCTTCCCTGTCTCCCATCCGTCTGTGGCAGGCGCCTCTCACCAGGGCAGGAGAGGACTCAGCCTCCTGTGTTTTGGAGAAGGGGCCCAACGTGTTGAAGGTGGCTGGGAGCCAGGTGTTTCTCTTAGAGGCCAAGTATTATTGACACAGGGGCAAACATGCAAACCATTAGAACAGAGGGCTCTGAAAGGCCATTTGTTAAGCATTTTAAAATCTATTCTCTCTCTTTCTCCCTGGATGATTCAGGAAGCTGACATTGTTTCCTCAAGGCAGAATTTCCCTTGTTCTGTTTTTTGTTTTTTTTTTTTTTTTTTTTTTTTTTTTTTTTTTTTTTTGGGATGGAGTCTAGCTCTGCCCGCCCAGGCACAGGTGATGGCGGATCTCAGCTCACAAGCTCCGCCTCAGGTTACACGCCATTCTCCTGCCTCAGCCTCCCCTGGGTTTACGCCATTCTCCTGCCTCAGCCTCCCGAGTAGCTGGGACTACAGGCGCCCGCCACCTCGCCCGGCTAGTTTTTTGTATTTTTTTTAGTAGAGACGGGGTTTCACCGTGTTAGCCAGGATGGTCTCGATCTCCTGACCTCGTGATCTGCCCGTCTCGGCCTCCCAAAGTGCTGGGATTACAGGCTTGAGCCACCGCGCCCGGCCCCTTGTTCTGTTTTCTCAGCCAATTGTTGTGGAAGGAGAATGCTTTCTTGGTGGCCTCATGTGTGGTTTTGTGTCCCTCTGAAGAAGGAAACTAGTTTCCACTGTGTAACAGGCAGACGTGTAACTATTTAAAGCACAGTTCAGTCCTAAAAGGGTCTGGGAGAACCAAATGATGTATTAGGTGAAGCGGTGCATTGTGGGAATCACAAAGCAAATAGTACTCCAGAAAGACAAATATCAGAAGCTTCCCATTCTTTTTTTTTTTGAGACAGGGTCTTGCTCTGTTGCCCAGGCTAGAGTGCAGTGGTGATCACTGCTCATTGTAGTGTTGAACTCCTGGGCCCAAGCAATTCTCCCACCTCAGCCTCCCGAGTAGCTGGAACTACTAAGTGTGCACCACCAGGCCTGGCTAAGTTTTTGAACTTTTGTAGTGATAGGATCTCACTATGTTGCCCAGGGTGGTCTCAAACTCCTGGCCTCAAGCGATCCTCTCACCTCGGCCTCCCAAAGTGCGTGGATTACAGGTGTGAGCCACCTCGCCTGGGCCTCCTTCTCCATATGCCTCCAAAAATATGTCCCTGGAGAGTAGCCTGCTCCCACACTGTCACTGGATGTCATGGGGTCAATAAAATCTCCTGTGATTGTGTATCTCAGACATTTCTGTGTCTTTGATTCTCACCTTGGGACCCTAAGAGGGCCCAAGTGTCAGTAACTCTGGGCCTCCCCTAAAGAGAAACAGAGATGGTGGCTCATCCAGGAAGTGGAGGAGCAGGCGGCTCCTGGTTCTCAGGCCACCTGTGATCTCTGCCCACCCAGGGCCTGCCCCAGCCTGCAGGTATTGCTGTGTGGTGGGAACACCCGCTTCCCTTGTGCACAGCCTTTGAGAGGAGATCATGGCCTCAGCTCCAGGGGTTCCTAGCCAGGGCCAAGCACTCCTTCTGCAGAGGTCTGCATGCGTCTCACCCCTTGGACTTATATTTCCGTGACTTCCCCTCCCCACCTGCCCCCCAGCCCTCCCTGACTGGCCAGCCCCTCAGTAGTCCTCCTCGGCCAGGGAGAGGAGCACGGCCTTGGGTGTGTTCTCGAAAAGGGCAGCCCGGTTCTGCTGCTGCCCCTTCTTCACCCAGTGGCCATAGATTCGGAAAGCGTAGGCGTCAATGAGCCGGCGCAGAGGCCGGAGGGCGTAGGGGTCTCGGATGACGATCTCCCGGGTCACCGGCTTCACTCGGCGGTACTGGTAGTAGATCCGCACTGAAGCCAGCACAGTGACAGCGATCACCTGCAGGGCCAGGTGGAGAAGCTGGGCTGCAGCTGCCCCCCTGCCAGGCCCTGCCCCTCCGGCACAGGAACGCTCTGGGCTCGTCTGCCACGAAGCCTTGGGTGGCTTCCGCGGGGCCCTCCTAGTGTCTTCCACTTCCCACCTGGCCAGCATCCATAGGGACAGAGCCAGTGGGCCGACACCTGCCATCTCTGAAGCCATCACAGGGCAGCTGGGAGGGGTGGGGTGGGTACTCTGGAAACCCACGGGGTGTAAGGACCCCTGGGAGAGGAGAGGGCTTAGAGGTTTGCACTTGGGGAGCTGGCGGGTCTGGGTCAGAACGCTTCATACCTTGAACTTCCCCCGAGGGCTGAAGTGCCGCACTTCCTCTACCACATACTGCTGGAAGAAGGGGTGTGCCAAGGCCTCTTCCGCTGTGTAGCGGTTCTGGGGTTGCACGACCAAGAATCGGGAGACCTGGGAGGGGAGGAGAGGGGAACGGAGAACATCAAGGCAGGTCCCCTCCAGCATGTCAGGAGAGGCGGGGCCTCCCCGGGCAGGGGTGCCTGGCATCGCAGTCCTGAGCCCAGGAGCCAGTTGGCCTGGCCTCTTACCAGGTCCTTCACAGTGTCCGAGTAATCATCCCACTCGGGTGAGCCAAACTGGTAGTTGCCGCTCATGATCATCCTCAGCATCAGCATCTGCTTCCGGTGCCAGAAGGGCGGGGAGCCGGCCAGCAGTGTGTACATGATGACGCCAGTGCTCCACCTGGACGTGTGAGGGCCCAGGGCCACTTACCCAGCGCCAGGGGCACCAACCCAGCCCTGCCGGCTCCCTCCCTTGCCCAGCCCAGGCAGGTGATCCTCCTTCCTCGGTGCACTCACATGTCCACCTCCTTCCCATAGCCCGGGTGGTCCTCATTCATGGAGCACTCAATAATCTCAGGGGCCAGGTAACTGGGGGTCCCGCAGACCTCTGCAGGAACAGTCATCATCAAGACAGGTCAGCAGGGCACTCAGAAGAGGAAGTCCAGGCCGGCCGCAGTGACTCATTTCTGTAATCCTAGCAATTTGGGAGGCCAAGGCAGGCAGCTCACCTGGGGCCAGGAGTTCGAGACCACCCTGGCCAACATGGCAAAACTCCGTCTCTACTAAAAATACAAAAATTGGCCGGGCGCGGTGGCTCAAGCCTGTAATCCCAGCACTTTGGGAGGCCGAGACGGGCGGATCACGAGGTCAGGAGATCGAGACCATCCTGGCTAACATGGTGAAACGCCGTCTCTACTAAAAATACAAAAGAAAAAACTAGCCGGGCAAGGTGGTGGGCGCCTGTAGTCCCAGCTATGTGGGAGGCTGAGGCAGGAGAATGGCGTGAACCTGGGAGGCGGAGCTTGCAGTGAGCTGAGATCCGGCCACTGCACTCTAGCCTGGGTGACAAAGCGAGACTCCGTCTCAAAAAAAAAAAAAAAAAATACAAAAAGTAGCCAGGTGTGGTGGCACATGCCTATAGTCCCAGCTACTCAGGAGGCTGAGGCAGGAGAATCGCTTGAACCTAGAAGGCGGAGGTTGCAGTGAGCTGAAATCATCCCATTTCACTCCAGCCTGGGCAACAGAATGAGACTCTGTCTCAAACGAAAAAAAAAAAAAGAAAGATAAAAAGGGGAAGTTCAAAGAGACAATGGAGATGGAACAGAAATGGAGCTTGGGCTGGGACTCCCCCAATATCCACCAACTTCAGGGCCCAGGGCAGGGCAGGGTACTGCCCACAGGGCCACCAGCTTAGGGCCTATTGCTTCCCTGGTCACTTCTAGCCATCCTGGCCTGGAACTAGGGTAATGGGAACCTAGAAGAGGACTTACCTGAAGAAATGTCTAGCCCTGCCGGGCGTGGTGGCTCACGCCTGTAATCCCAGCACTTTGGGAGTCCAAGGCGGGTGGATCACAAGGTCAGGAGTTCGAGACCAGCCTGACCAACATGGTCTATCTCTACTAAAAATACAAAAATTAGCTGGGCGTTGTGGCGCGTGCCTGTAATCCCAGCTACTCAGGAGGTTGAGGCAGGAGAATCGCCTGAACTCGGGAGGCAGAAGTTGCAGTGAATTGAGATTGCGCCACTGCACTCCAGCCTGGGTGACAGAGTAAGACTCCATCTCGGAAAAAAAGAAAAAAGAAAAAAGAAAAAAAATTCCTACCCCTTGAAATGGTGCAATTTTTATTCTGGGGAACAATTAAGTTAGGGGAGAAACCCAGGCCATCTCTATTCCGCGGAGGGTTGATTGAGCACCCGAGGCCCGGATGTGGGCCAAGGGCGTGTTACCAGACCTCGCAGCCTCTCTCCTGGCTCCAGCTGGCAGGAAAAGCCAAAGTCTGTGAGCTTGATGTTCATGTTGTCATCCAAGAGGATGTTCTCGGGCTTCAGGTCCCGGTGCACAATGTTGAGTTTGTGCAAGGCGCAGATCACCTCCAGCAGAGCTCTCATGATCTTTCTAGGGTGGGGCACACACTTGTCACTCTTCCTCTGCGCAGAGTCAGGCGACAGGCAGGGAGACACAGCTCACATTTCAGCCACACTGCAAGGGAGCAGCACACACGCCCAGCCCAGACACATGCACGCCCTGCCTCCCCTGAGGCCCCAGTGCCTGTGGCCCTAGGCCAAGTGGGAGGGAGCGGAGAGGGGCAAAGGGATGCTCACCTGGTTTCCTTCTCACTCAAAGTGACCTTCTCAGTGAGGTAGTCAAAGAGCTCCCCTCTCTTCATCCTGTGGAAACAGACGGTTGATAGCTGGATCGGTCCCAAGACCACCACCCTCCTTACCCTGCTCCCAGAGAGCTGCCTTCTGCCCTGATACCTCTAGAAGCTAAGTGGGCCACTCCCCGTGGAGAACCACAGTCTGGGGAGAGGAACCGGGGAAGTGAGGAGAGAAGTGTTCTGGAAGAACTGGGAGAAAAGCAAAGGAGACTGGAGAGAAGTGGCCCATGTCAGGGGCTCAGGCTCTCATCAACCCTCTGAGGAATAGAGATGGCCTAGGTTTCTCCCCTGACTTAATTTTTCCCCTGGAAAAGTCTTTCCCACCATTTCATGGGGTAGGCATTTCTTCAGCTAAGTCCTCTCCCCAGGTTCCCATTACCCTAGTTCCAAGCCAGAATGGCTAGAAGTGACCAGGGAAGCAATGGGCCCTGAGCTAGTGGCCCTGTGAGCAGTACCTCTCCCAGCCCTGGGCCCTGAAGTTGGTGGATTTGGGGGAGCCCCAGCCCAAGTGCCATTTCTGTTCCATCTCCATTGTTTCAGTGTGGGGGTTCTCCCATCTGTGGAAGTGGCAGTGTGGACTGGGATGTATCGGGGCCTAAATGATGGCTGGAGGCTGAAAGAGAGGACCATGAACCACTGGCCCAGGAGCCGAGACCCAGATCAGAAGGACATGAG